CAAATAAAACTCACCGGTATAATATTCAATGTCCATTGCTGCCGAGGCTTAGCTCCCAACCGGCCGGTGGTACCCTGATGTGGTTGGGGCGTCGCGACCTTTACCATAAAAAAGCGGAAAACGATTATAAAAGCGGTTTCATGTAACTGAGATCTTAACTAAACCACATATTAGGTACTTAATACTATAGTTTGTCTTTTTTGAAGATGGAGTAAAATGACATTTGCAGGGTTGCCAGTTTTTAAATAGTTATGTAGTTGTTGTCGATAGTTTTATCGACAGATTGTGAAAAAAGATAAAATTTCGGCAAAACTGACTGAATTGTGAATGTTACGACGTTCTAATGATTACTAATTGGGTTATTGTCTTCTTTATTCTTATTTTGACAGTTGGCTTACTAGTGTCGAGATCAATTTTTATTCATGATATTTTAATAGGAATAGCCAGTTTGGATTATCTACATTCAATTAAATGAGAAACTTTAAAATATATCTCCTGTTTGTATTTTTCATAAACGTAGTTCTAAATACTGCGTACTGTGTATGAACTTACAAAAATTGACAATTCAAATGAACTTGTGCTCAGTAATTGGATAAATAAAAACAATTTCGGCTATTTATTCCATAAGCGTGACCAGTATTCAATCGATAGTCGATAGAAAATTTATTGGCTGCAATCACTAGGCAACATTTGCACATTGAACTGTCATTTTACTCAGTCTTCAAAAAAGACAGACCACAATATATGGAAACGGTCTGCTCGCCGCCGCCGCCTGTACCGCGCCCTCTGAGTGACCGGTGGACCAGCACAGATATATCATGTCTGTAGTGACCGGGCTGTCAGGGCTTTGGTGCGCTTTTTGTCAAGTCATCGCCTAGGAAGCTCATGACTAAGAACCACGGTTCAAATCACGTCGATCAAAATTCGACCCAAAATACGTGAGTTATCTCTCACGGTAGTTTTCTATTTATAATAAAATTGTAATCTTAATTTAACTTCTACGATTATAGTCTGGATAGGCTTTACCTCAATAGCATTCTTTCCAGTTTTCTTTCGAAGCTCCAACGTAAATTGCTCCACAAATCCATCAGCCAAAAAGTACCTAAGGGAAGAAAGTAATTAATTACTTGTTCTTTGCAGCTTAATCTTACAAGGTATTTTTGTTATAAATGTTAACAAATGGACTTTTACGAAGAATATAAAAAAATAGAAACGAAATATTTTGCGTGTAGAACGAAGAACGATAAAATTATTCATAAAAATGGAAGTAAATTTAGTTGCTACTTTGGAGAAAAAAAGAACAAACAAATGAAATTTTCAGCCGAGTGTCGACCAATCAAGAACTCCTGAAGATGCCACGTAGAGGCGAAACACGTGTCGGGTATATTTTTGGTGGTTGTGTTCGTGACTGTATTTGCGCATGTTTATAATTTATTTTTATAAACTTTATGCGGAAAATTAACTGCATGAAAAAATAGTCGACATAAGCGCAGCTATTTTGCACGATTTAACCTTTAATGGGTTCGCGGAGTAGGTAGCAAATTAATTTACTTCCATTTTTATTAACATGCCGAATTTATTAATTCTTGAAAAATTACTCACTTGTGTCGTAATAACGCTGCAGCCGAAGGTCTGGCCCTAGGCTCTGTGCGCAAACAAGCTGACAGCAACTCTTTGGCATGGCCCGTCCCGGGAATGTTGTTGCCACGCCCCACTTGTGAGTTTAAGGCTGCGCCGCCAGCTAACCGGGACACTATTTGCTGATGTCTTGGGGCTAACTTTCCTGAAGTCAAAATATCTAAAGTTATTATTTTTCGAATAAATATTGTTGATCGAATTTTGCAGTCAGTTATGTAAGCAGATTATTAGGCCACAAGCAGGAGATGGCCAAAGTGTGTTTGCCAAGAACATCGATTATATAACCAGAAATAGAGACGAAATAAGGCCCATCCATCCCTGGAAACTCATCAGGCAAATGGGCCTTATATCACTTTTAAATATCAATTCACGTTTGCACTGAAATCACAAATTAGAAAGCTGAAATAGTACAGCGCAACTGACCTGTGTGTACGCCTCCGTATATTCCAAAAATATTCGTTATTTATTGTAATAAAGATAATATCTCTAACTATGGGGGGCTGTTCCACTCAGTGGTGAGGGAAAGAACAGCAAAACATCTAATTACAAAACAAACGGAATCACATTACATCGGTAATTAAATATTAAATATGTAATTTTTCAATTTCCGTCCATTATAGCAAAGCTCAAGTTTGGAAGTGAAACAATTGACGACACCCGTCAATTGTTTCGAATTCTGGGTGGCCAATCGGAGCGCAGTTGTCACCGGAACAATTTGGCAGAATAATTTTCAAACAAATTAAATGACACTTCTTCTCTATTTCAGGTTATATACTCGATGACCAAGATTAACATTTTACAACTCATTACTCATTGGCCACATTAGCCTTTCACTGATTTTATCGGATTTTTCCATAAGCACTCACCGACAGTCTTAATGATGAGAGCGAGCTGATCAATGTCAGAGTCTCCAGGAAATAAAGGATCCCCCGTTAACATCTCGGAGAACAGGCAGCCGATGGCCCAGATATCAACCTCTGGGCCGTACCTGAGAAGAACCAGTTTCGAAGAAGGTTTTAGTATATTCCGTGTTAAAAATTTAACTGATACTAACAAAATAACGATAATAACAAAACTGAGACTGAAAGAAAGATGAAAGAAGTCGAAGTCACGATCTTTGAAGATTTTGTGATGTTTTTTCGATAATAGAGTTTCTCACTTTGCTGGTCTTTGATATAGGTATAGTTAAAAATATTTTCCAAAATTATTCCAAGAACCCCAAAAGGAAATTAACCTGTGTTCAGCAACCAGCAATTCTGGAGCCCTGTACCATCTCGTAGCGACGTACTCTGTGTACGGCTCGCCGGGAGCGGCCAGGGCTCTCGCGAAGCCCAGGTCACACAGCTTCACGATGCCATTGTTGGATATCAACACGTTCTCCGGTTTGACGTCTCTGTGAATAATCTGGAAATGAAGATGCAAACGACAATATTTATTCATGAAAACTAATTTAAACCTCGATGAATAAGCGGCCCTCTTTAACCTTTTGACCGCCACTGACAAAAACTAGTTTCGTTCTCTAGACGCCAAGCCTAATGACGTGACATGAATTTCCACCTAACATAAATTCTATATTCCTAAGGTAAAGAAGAACATAAATGGACATAAAATGCATGAATTCATACTTAACTAGAATATAAATAATCCTAGGAATCTCTTAATATTTATTAATTTAATAATTTATTGTGTGGCGACTAAAAGATCGCACACTATTAGAGCGAACGAAGATCGCACTGGTTTTGGGCGAATGATTAATAACGCGGTTTCCGCCACTAGTCGGGAACGTTCGTGAGATGCGCCAAGTTGAGACTTCGGCCGCCGTCGTGAACTCCGCCGCTGGCCATTGTTTTGCTGCGCTCTGACGCTAGACGCACGCTCGCTTTACCTTTAAAATTTACCGTTATCGCCCGTCATTACGTGAATAAATTGTGTTTAGTATTTTGCACATAGCTTGCGCTTACTGCCATCCGTTCCATGCCTAGCTTTCCACACTGAACTGTGCCTTTCTGTGCCTTTCGTGCTGTAACTGTGAAAGTGTAAAGTGTCCTATTGTAATTAAACAGCGTAAATCGAACTTGGGTGATTTCTTTGTGTTCCGGACTATAAACTGTAAATTGCCGTGATTCGCATAGAGCTACAATTATATAGAAAAAACAAAAACACATTTAGTGACAAAGAAAACATTAACAAAAGGTACTGCTTATACTAACAGAAATTTCTTCCTGCAGCTATAAATATAGGAGACAATGTTTACAATAACGGGTTAATGTGCGCAACAAAACAAAAGTTATGAATGAAAATAAAAACAATGTCAAAACATTACATTATTAAAACTATATAAATACTTATATAAATATATATTTCGTACTATAATACCTACAAAATGGATGAAACAGTAGATAAATAGTGGTCCTTAGCTCTCATTTTGAAAATTGCTGAGGATTTACTATTATGAACAGTAATGGGAAATGCATTCCAAAGTCTGACCGCACGAACGTGAAGGAGTGAGAATAAAAACCGGAATTGAAGAATGGAAAAGATAACTGGGACCTAACGAGAGAGCGACAGGACTTATCCTGGGACCTGAGAAGGCTGAAACGCTCTTTCGGATACCCGAGATATATATGATTGTGCAGAATATTATAGAGAACGGAAGCAGTATGCAAATTCTTGCGGAGACGAATGGGAAGCTACTTGAGTTGACTGCTATACTGATTTATTTATTAATTTCAAAATAAAATTAAAGGGTTGAAGTTAAAGGCTTAAATGTTAAAGGGTTTCATTGATGCTTTAAGGGGTCATTGGCGTATCTACCAAGTTAATGTAAGACGCTTTAAAAACATCTAAGGCGGTCAAAGGGTTAATTAAAGCTCTACGGTATTTCTTAGTAAATAACCAATTTCCGAAATTACATTTTAAATTTAGAAAATGTTTGTAATTTGATTTGGGCCCTATGATTTTAGGAGCGCCTTCAAAGTAGATGCTGGTAGAAGCGCTGCAGCGCTGTGCGCCAGTCATCGACGTCATAACCTGTTGACACCAAACCTGATAACATGATGTCGACGATACCACTACTAAATTTCATACAATATCTAGTCTGCAAATGGTGCGCATGTCACCACTGCAGCGCTTCTAATTTGAAAGCGCCCTAAGGACACTCAATACGTTATTGCTTTTCCATAAAGTTAACATAATATGAGTTTATTTTGTGCCACGTAGTCTCTAAAGTAAATTGCCTGATTTGTAATTGACCGACGCACTCACAGAGTTCTGGTGACAGTAATCAATTCCCTTTAACAACTGATACAAGTGTTTCTTAGCTGTAGTTTCTCCAAGTCCACCTGTTGATTGCTCCAGCTCATCCAAAAGTGTGTGATCCAGATACTCAAACACGAGGTAGAATCGTCTCTTGCGACGAAACACCTCGATCATGTTCACAAGGTGGTCGTGACGTAGTTTCTGTAAAACAATGTCAGGTTAGGTTAGCCGGTAAGCCCTATACTGGCTACAAAATCCTCAAATTATTCGAGGTTTTTATAATATTAAGTGACGGGACGAAGAAGTCGTGCGCCTGATGGTTAAGCTACACGCCTATCCATAACAGTTGCAGTGCCACTCAGAGCTTTAAATCGTAAAGATCTGTCACTGCCACTGCGCCCGGTCCCATGCCTGTAATTTCACCAGCACCTTAAACTTTGTTAATTATTGATATATTGATTTGTAATGAATAATCGTCATGAAAATACTCCACTACTTTGTTATTGATATTATAGAAGTAGAGCTACTTGTGAAAGGGTTGCTGCCATCAAGCTGCTATTTCTACCGCTAAGCAATGATGCGACTTGTTAACTTATGTCTCGGCACTGCAACCGCTATGGACAGGCGTGTCGCTTACCACCAGGCGCACGACTTGTTCGTCCCTTCACTTGGTATCATAAAAACTTGCAAAGACTGAACAAACAGGAACGAAAATTCCTTCAATCTGTCTGGACTAGAACCAGGTCCGACCGGGGCTAACACTCTTCCAACAGACCTAATTGTAATTTGTTGTTTTTTAGTCAAAATAATTAATAGTTACTACGTAACAGATACATCACTCTCATAAAAAATCGAAAATACCTACGCTATAATAAATAATCTACTAAATCTGACTGATGACACCAGGCGCTCACTGCGAGGAAAAAAGAACCTTAGCATATACTCATAAAGGTGAAAATAAAGTTGCCCGCCGTGTGCAGTCATGAGGACCCGAATGCTCATAAATGAAAGACATGTATGACCGCTTGCCCCGACGTCGGTGCACTCAGCGGTAGGCACTTATAGCGTAACGCGCAAGCAAGTGACGAAATCCTGACTCCGAGAACCCAGTAAAAGTTAAATCGTAGGTACGTTCAGCCGCTGACAGTCGAACAGTAAACAACTTCGGAAATTGCCTCGTAGAGAGGTGAAACACGTGTCAAGTAAATATATTTTCGACAGTGGTGTTTATGACTGTAGTTCCGCTTGTGTAAAGGCCTGTCACGTGCGGCAAAGTTAAAAGTCTGTACGGTTCCTCATACCAGGACAAGGAAGGAAAAACCACTTAAGAAACCGGCTTCCGATGGATCGGGTCGTGATGTACAATATCGGACCGTGAAAGTACAAAACCACCGTCCTTATTTGCTACAATACTACATGGTGTTGTACGTTCTTGCTACGCTATAAATGTATGACACGGCAAAATGTACGGGCCGTCTCAAAGGCCCCGGATCGTGGATCGCTCTGTAACATTAGATCGTTTAATTTATTCGCTTGAGGAAAACCATCCGCACTTGTGTTATTGTTACGAGAATCTGTTACGGTTACGAAGTCGGCTGCGTTGAAATGTCACCAA